AGGCGGGTCTCGAACCCGCGGGCTCAGGCAATCCACTCACCTCAGCCTCCCAAAGGCGCGGGATTACAGGCTGAGCCACCAAGCCCGGCTTGCAAGGCATTTTTAAATGAATTTGTTTATGTGCTCGACAGGTAGTCCCTATCTTAAGGCACTTGGAATAGGGCAGTGGACAAAACCACAAAAATCTTTTTGGATTCTGTTGGAGGATTTAAAAAAAAATGCATATAGCAGATGGTTATAGGTACAAAAATAAAGCAGGGGTGAGAGATTGGGAGTGTCAGGTGGGTTAGTTGTGATTCTAAATATTGGGTTTCAGCATGACTTCACTAGCAAGTCTTTGTGGTTAGAGTGATGAATTAGATGGGCCCTGCCCTCACATTGCTTCCAGGGTAGTAATGAGAACTGTTTGTTGATGAACTGTGAGGCTGGGGACTCTGCTAAATAAATATGTATGTTTCCGCCTAATCTACTGAAATAGAGACATTATCCAGAAAGAAACTGAAGCTTTGAGAGTTGAGTAAATGGCCCAAATGAATAAAACCAAGGAGAACCAGATCTTACTCCAAAGTCCATGCTCTTAAACATGACTTATACCATGTCAATTATGGACATGTTAGTTATGGAGGAATTGTCCAACTTTGGAGATCTGGTAGGTTGTGCAGTAACTTGACTAACTTATGGAGAGTCTGTGTTCCCATGAGCTTCCCCTCTGTCCTCAAGCTAGTTCTGTTTGAAAGGACTTGGGATTGTGCCCTGTGGTCATGGCAGGCAAAGAAGCTGCTTGGATACTGACTTCCAACCAGTGAGATGTGTTTGTTGTGTAGTGAGAGTGAACTCTACTCACGCCAGCAAATCGTTGACTACTTGAATTCCTGGCATTACATTTCAGAGATGTTATGCAAATTCAAAAGCATGTTATAAATGCTCATATTTAGAAGGGAATGTGAAGTGAGTGAAAGGTAATAGTGCCAAGGTCGCTGCTTATGGTGTTTATTACAGAATAGGCTGTACCTTGAATTTCCAATAGTTGCTTTATCATGATAAGAATTGATGAGCAAATGAGTATGCTGGATTGGAAACCTTTATTAAGGGTGTGGAAAGGAGGTCAGGGGTTCAGGAGTGTTCCATTTTTCTTTCTGCCTTGAGTATGCTTATGATAAAAGAGGGATGATTTTTAGCCTAGCACATCCTTTGCATCAGATATTGTTGCTGATTTAAAAATATTTGAGGTGTGTATGTAGATTATTAATCTGAAAAGTGACTATATGTTTACAACTCTGTTATTTTTTGTTGTCAGTTTCTAATGACTTTCCCCATTTAATTACTTTCAAAATAAAGTGCCGTTGATTTTTACAAGATGATTTTCTTTTTACCCATGAGAAGCTATGATTTAGACACTCGGGCTGTGAAATTTATTCTACTTATTTACTTTTTCTTTTCTTTTCTTTTTTTTTTGAGTTGGAGTCTCACTCTGTCGCCCAAACTGGAGTGCAGTGGCCGCTCCCGGCCACCGCAGCCTCGACCTGCTGGGCTCCGGCAAACCTTCCTCCTCAACCTTCCAAGTAGCTGGAACTACAGGCGCGCGCTACCATGCCTGACTAATTTTTTGATTTATTGGAGATGAGGTCTTGCCTGCCCAGGCGGGTCTTGAACCCGTGGGCTCTGGCAATCCACTCACCTCAGTCTCCCAAAGGCGTAGGATTACAGGCTGAGCCACCGATTCAAAGTATAATATACAGAAAGTATACATATGATAAGTGTACCTTTTAAAGACTTTTAAGAAACTGAACATACTTGGATAGCCAGCTTCCAGATAAAAATTTAACAAAAGATGGACATTCCAGAGGTCCCTCATCCTCTTCCAGTCTCTTCTGTCATCTCTCCCCATAGGGGTAACCACTATCCTGACTTCTAACAGCATATTTTTGTTGTGCCTGTCTTTGTTCTTTATATGAATGGAACAATTCAACTTGTACTCTTTTGCATTTGGCTTTCTTTTTTTCTTTCCATTGTTTGTGAGATTGAATTTATGGTTGAGTAGTTGCAGGGTGCTCATTCTCATTGCCATATAGTATTTCATTGTGTAGATATTCCATAATTTATTCTGTTAAAGACATCTTTGCAGCCTCCAGTTTTTGCTGTTTATGAAGAGTGATGCTATAAACATTCTTGTTATAACTTTTGGTGAACATATTTAAGAATTGTTGGGTATATACCTAGGAATGATATACTAGGTTGTAGAATATGGGTGTTTAGCTTGAGTAGATAATATCTAGTGGGTTTAGAGTTTAAATAGTTGTACCAATTTACATTTCCAATAGTGGGATTTTGTGAATTTTATTGTTGAGATGCTTTTTTTTAGGGGGTGGGTGAGAGGCACATGTTATTTTTAGGTTCATTTCAGTTCGTGTTGTTCTTTAAAAAGGAATAGTCATAGCTGCCTTGCTGATTCTTTAAAATATTAACTATTTTGTCTCTATGCACTCACACTCTCTCCTTTTTCTTTCTCTATATAAATAGATGTGTTTTATGCACGTCTATTACGCATGTGTATATGTATGTATATTCATCTTAAAAATATACTACAGTGCTTATAGATTGGATAATTATGTATTGTTATATATATTATTATATATGGATAATTATAATAATGATAGTTGGATGTCCCTTATGGGCCATCTCACTCAGGCTTCTACAGTCCCTGAATTTTCCCTGATCCTGCGTAAGCATCTCTGGTGAGGGGGGAAGCACATTCTTTTTGGGTGACCCATTCATTTGTTAAGTAATATGCTGTTGCCTCCTCAACACTGATGTGTTGTTCTGCCTCTTAACTTAACTTCTCATATAAATATCATACCCTTTTATAGGTGAGCAAAAAAAAAACCATGATTCTTGTAATAAAGTGAAATTTCTTTAGGCAAAAGTTTATGGCCTTTATTTAAACAGCCACTTTTAAACATCTGCAGGATCAAGGTCTGTGAGCAGTTTACTGCAGGGAACTTGGATGAAAAACCCCGTAGATGATGGAGTGAAAACTCAGTACAAAGTCACTTTCTTTTCTTTTTCAGGTGTTGTTCCCCTTATTTCTCAGTTTTCCTTTTGTGAACACACTTTCCCCTGCTCTCTTTAATTGGAATTAACATTGTTTAAAATGGAAATAAAAAAAAAAAGCGTTTAAAAAAATTAGACCATATTGAATAAAATGGGAAAACAGCATTGCTTTTTACGGAAAACTGACCATTATATTTCATTAAACCAATGAATATGGAAAAATTCTTCTGATGAATAATATGTGCTTGAAGATTTCTGAACTTTCAGGTGATATTAATATTCATAGCACTTCAGAATAAAAATGAGTTTTCTAGCTATAATTAATAATGTAAGATTCATGAATATTATTTAATAGATATTTTCTTTTTTTACAGGCAAGAAGAGACTGACAGGAGAGTGAAAAATGTAAGATATATTTACTTTAATGGAGATTTGAATATGTGACTTTCACTTCCATGTTCTGTAAGAAGGCAATGGATATTAAAATATACTCTGTATTGTTTTTCTAATGAAAATTTTGCCAGAAACCAACTAGGCATAAATGATAAACATGTCTAAATATGTATATTGTAATATACAGTTAGAACATATATTATCTGACTTTATGGTATAAGATGGTAGGTTACATTTCGGAAGCTGGTCGCATTGTGTTAGAAATGTGCTAAGGGCAAGTAAACACATTTTAAGATTTTCAGGGGAATCGTTAGGAAACTACCAAATGAGACTTTAAGGAAAAACACCGAATGCTTAAGGACTCTGGGTAATTGCTCATTGTAGACTCATGTAAAGTCTTCAATATTCTGTACATATTAAAAGAATATATAAAAATGTTGCAACTTTACTTTTAAAAAGTTTAATATCTTTTATTAGGAAACAGAATTCTTGACTTTAGATGTTTATTTTGTAAGGTTATTAGATAAATACCGACTGCCTGAAAAGTTTCATTTGTAGTTTTTTTTTATTTTTTTCCTTCATCATATGTACTAGTAGAGTGTATGAATGCGTTTTGGAATCTGGAGTTTTTGGGCCTAAGAACTTGCTCAGAGACAGGAAAATCTAGAATAAGATTTGTAATGACCATTCCCATAAATTCAAAAGAAAATCGACTTTTCAGCCACTTAGTAGTGTGTGCAATGAGTTATCAATAGTACTCACCTGCATTTGATCTTGCAATTTTGGTTACTAAATAGACCGATTTTGTTGTTCATGGATTTTGTTTTTTCTTTTTTTTTAAGGTTCTGATAACGTTGTACTGGCTGGGAAGAAAAGCACAAAGTAACCCCTATTATAATGGTCCCTCTCTTAATTTGAAAGCATTCGAGAATCTTTTAGGACAAGCTCTGACTAAGGTAAGAAAACGCCACCTGTATGAAATGACTATTATAATATAGTACTACCACTTCCTCTTTTTCCCCTTCTTTTCCTCCACTTCTCCTTTTCCTTTCTCCTCCTTCCCTTCTGTAACAAATATGGTGTCTCTGACTATCTTTACTCCACTCTAGATTAGGCTGAGTAGAGTTTCTCATTTGCTGTCTTTATATGAATTGAGTCTATTCTGGAGCAATTTCCAAGTTACAGAGACTTATCTTTTAATTGTAGATAACTTGACACTTGCATCTATTTCCTTTCTTAAACACTCTATATAACTTAACTGTTTCTATACTTATTATGAATGCAACCTATAGCAGATAAGTGCTTCCTGGGCTATTAACATGTATGGAAGTTACTCAGTTTTTTTGTATTAATGTATTTTGTGTCTAGGTGATTCTATCTCTAATGCCCACACTTTAATATACCCACAGTTATACTATGCCATCTGTTTTCTAAATGGTAATGAATTCTTTAGTGAAACTTGATAAGATTTTTAAGTTAGAATCCTGTGTTTTATATGCATTTTTACTCCTTTATGTACTGGAATCACTCTGACAGCCTTTGAATGCTTAAGGACCATTTGAGGAGAGCCAAGTGCCAGGACTGACCATAGTTCTGCCAAATCTTCATTTCTAAGACCCACATGAAAGTATGAACTTCTCTGTGGAGGTATTTATCTAGGCGAATTTGCTGGGCTCAGAAGATAATATGTAGTTAAAATGGTATATCACCATCAAATTAATAGTAATTGCTTCATTGTTTTTTCTGATGATTAAATAATACCATATCAATAAGGCATTTTAGCATTAGTGTCTGGCACATTGTAAGGATGCAACAAATGTTAGTTACTGTGATTGGAAGATAGAAATTGTAGGATAAAAATTATCACCTTGCCTTGCATCTACCTTGAATCATTTTGCTCGATGCCAGACACATATATTATAGAGATGGTATCATAGATCCTAGAAGGTTCAGGTATATTTCCTTTTCCCCAAAAAAATGTAAGGGGTAGATAGCACTCTATTGAATTCCTTAAATTACTTAATTCAGGTAGTAGTTGAGGTAGTAACGTATACACACCTTGTACTACTAGGTGTTGGGAAAACACTCATGACAAATGACTCAACCTCACAAAGCACATTGTCTGAGTTAGAGCAGATTGATCACTGCAATGAAGGAGGGTGAGGCTCTGATGGAGAAATTTCAGGGGCTTTGAGCATAGGGAGAGCCTAGCCTTATATTTATTTCAACTAAGACAGCGTTCGGTTAAGAACCATGTGGGACTTTGGCTTATGTCTTAGTGCTCTCGTTATAGCCATTGGTTCTTTTTATGACAGTCTGACTCAGGTTGAATAATCCTGATACAGTGTTTGTGCTAGAAATGCTCATTAAAAGCTGTTTCCTGTCAACATTTGTATACCTAACCCTGACTTGTACCCCACATTTTTATAATAAAAGAAAAAGAAAAAAAGGGCTGTTTCTTGTCACCAGTATGAAAACCAGAGTAAAATAATTGTTGATAGATAAAACTATTGTTGTGATTCCATTATTATAAAGTGGAGAAAGCTGTGAGAGGCATGTGACTATATCATATGTTTTGAATTAGTTGTATTAAAATCAAAACCACTGTGTTCATCAGATTTTTCCCATTTAAGTAGACAATGCTTACAGGCTAATCCAAAATACCAATTTAAAAAATCTTTGTTAGCCGGATTTGGTGGCTCAGCCTGTAATCCCGCGCCTTTGGGAGGCTGAGGTGAGTGGATTGCCTGAGCCCGTGGGTTCGAGACCCGCCTGAGTAGCAAGACTTCATCTCTACAATAAATCAAAACATCAGCTGGGCGTGGTAGCGCATGCCTGTAATTCTGGCTACTTGGAAGGCTGA